CCCAATGCCTGGGAGGCAGAGACAAGCAGATCTCTGTGAGTTCAAGGTGATGTAGCGCACGCCTTTAATCCCAGCGCACGTGCTTGGTAACTCTCTACCGCTGCGTCCCTGCCTACTCCCGAGGCATCATCTGGGATAATGGGCAGTGGACCCATCCAAGAGTGACACGTCAGAAGCAGGGTCTGTTTCCTTTATAAGGGTTGGGTTCCATCTTTTCTGGGTCTCTGCCATGTTGGCTGATGCCCGCTCTCCCAAGGGGCATTAAAGCTTTACTGCAGAAGTATCCTATGTGTACCGCGTGGTTCTTGCTGGCGAGACGGTAGCGCGGGACAAGATTAGCTAAAGTCAAAAACACCAATGATAGCCTATGCTGGAGAGGATATGGAGAGAGGGGAACTCTCATCCATTGTTGGTGGGAATGCAAACTTGTGCAGCCACTGTGGAAATCAGTGTGGCGGTTTCTCAGGAAACTGGGAGTCAATCTCCCTCAAGACCCAGCAATTCCACTCTTGGGAATATACCCAAGAGATGCCCTATCATACCACAAAAGCATTTGTTCAACTATGTTCATAGTAGCACTATTTGTAATAGCCAGAACCTGGAAACAACCTAGGTGCCCCTCAATAGAAGAATGGTTAAAGAAGGTGTGGAACATATATACACTAGAGTTTTACTCAGCGGTAAAAAACAATGACATCTTGAATTTTGCATGCAAATGGATGGACATAGAAAACGCTTTACTGAGTGAGGTAAGCCAGACCCAAAAGGAGGAATATGGTATGCATTCACTCATAAGTGGATTCTAGTCATAATTAAAGGTCTTTGAGCCTATTATTCGAGATCCTAGAGAAGCTAAATAAGAAGGTGAACCTGAAGAAAATCATGTACTTATCCTCCTGGAGATTGGAAATAGACAAGAGTCCCAGGTAACCTCGGGTGCATGGGGGTGGGTGGGTGGGAGGGTTGTTGAAAGGGGAGAGGGTTAGAGAGAAGGGAGTAGGGGAGGAATGGGGAAAACTCAGGTGACTGAGATGGGGGGAGGGAGGAAGGATGGATATGGGATCAGGGAAGAATGTATCTCAACTAAGGGAGTCATTTTAGGGTTTACAAGAGACTTGATAATAGATGGGATCCCAGGTCCAAGGAGAGATCCCCAGATTGTTCTCTGGACAGAGGAGAGGGTGCCTGAACCGGCCTTGGCCTATAACCATACTGATGAAGATTTTGCTTATCACCATAGATCCTTCATCCGACGATGGATGGCGATACAGACGGAAACCCACATTGGAGCGCCGGACTGAGCCCCCCATGGTCCAAATGAGGAGCAGAAGGAGAAAGAACATGAAAAAAAAAAACTCTGGACCGCGAGGGGTGCGATCACCCACTGATACAAGGGGACTGATCTAATGAGAGTTCACCAAGGCCAGTTGGACTGGGACTGAACGAGCATGTGATCCAACCAGATTTTCTGAATGTGGCCGGATTCTCTGAATGTGGCTGGCCCAGAGTCTTTCTGAAAAGCCATTGACAATGACACTGGGACTTGTTTCCTCTGCATATACTGGATTTTTGGGATCCAGTCTGTTTGGATACTCACCTTCCTGGACCTGGAGGGAGGGGGGAGGAACTTGAACTTCCCACAGGGCAGGAAGCCCTGACTCCTCTTAGGGATGGAGAGGGAGAAGGAGTGGGAGGGGGAGAGTGGGAGGGTGTTGGGAGGAGGGGCGGAAATGGAAACTTTCATAATTTAATAAACTTTGAAAAAAAAAGCTCAAAAAAAGTACTTTTTTAAAGCTGAAGAAGGCTCAGCAGACTGACAGGAACGCAGATGTTAGCAAGTCCCGCCTCCCCATCACCCCATTAATGGTTTTGTTCCAGAGGTGTTATAATATAAATCACAGAACGGAGTCAAGGAAGCTCCCCAGTGACTTCGAAGTTGGATAATGAGCATAAAAACAGAGGCGTAAGGAACACATTCAGTGTTCTACTGTACAGTGAGGGGCATATAGTTCACAAAAGCCTGTTACACATAGTTCCTAATATTGAGAAAGGAAACTCTCAAAACCTCCAAGGATAAAAACTGACAAGCAGCTGGAACTATTATTCTAATTTGGTAGAGATCCATTGTATGTGTACTCATGGACAGACATTATAAAACATAAATATGTACAATTATTGCATGTTAATCAAGAATTTTTTTCATGTTTACGGCAAATGAAATACTGTCTTTCTTGATTTGATTAATAGGTATTTTATAGATACATATAACTACAAACTATCAATCTGTATCTTATTTAAATATGATTAAGTAATCATTTTAATTTAAAAATAAATAAGACTTGCATATTGTATGATTCTCCTATCAGATTAGAGATACTCAAAGGGTGAGCATGTCCTATGACTTTCCATAATAACTTCAAACAAAACCACTGGTTTCACCGGAAGTCAGGATCTTTGCTGTGAGGTGATGCCTCCCAGGAACCATGAAGTCTCAGCAACACAACCCAAGTCTGAGCTGAACAATGAGGTCAGCAATGAAAAGCCCATGAAGCCTCAGCCTGGACAAAGAACTACAGGCAACTGAGCAAAGCTGGGATAGGGAGGAGTGGTCTTCCCCATGGAAGAACACAATAGTCTTCTGTCCAGTGTCAAATGGTCATCCCTGAAAACTTCCATGTGTATATGGACTCAATAGGTTATATATGAGAACATATATGCATACACAAATGCATATGTGCTTGTAATGACAACTGAGAAAAAAAGAAAAACTAGAAGCTACATATTTATTTTCATGCGTTTTCAAATACACAACTAGCATATCAAACCAATATTTTATTATTTTAAATGTGATCAATTTTTTAAACATATGTCAATTTAAATTTGAATTGAAAGTGCTAAGAATAGAAGTTAGATGGGTCCATAGCCCTACTGCAGCCAGGATCTGCGTTGATGTCCTTGGCTCCTGTTACCATCAAAGACTGTGCAGATGCCAAGGATCTGGGCCTATGCCTGGGAGGCCATATGGTACCTGAGAGTCATGCTGCTGCTGGGGCCACACAGATTTGAGCACACCATCCTGAGCCATGGTATAGTACAGGCCACAGCCTAGGGCCACATCTGGGTCTGTAATCCTACTGTAGCTGGGGTCTCTGTTGACGTCCATGGTCTGTGTTGTTGATGTCCATGGCCCGTGTTGCCACCAAAAACCACAATAATGCCCGGGTTGTGGGCCACCAACTGCGGCCATGTTGGGGTCTAAGGGACATGCCACTGTTGGGGCCATGTCCATCTGAGTGGACTGTGCTGCCACCCGGGTCCAGGGTAAAAACCAGGCCCAAGCTGCTGCCGTTGGCCATGTCTGGGCCCATGGTCCTGCTGCAGCTGGGATCTGTGCTGATGTATGTCCACTGCTTGTGTTACCATGGGGGCCCATGTGAACCATGTGTTGAACCATGTGTTGAGGTATGATATGAGGGTCATGCTGGGCTGCCCTGCCCCTCACTGATCTGAGAAGAGACAGCCCTCTTACTGCAGAGCTGGCCTGCACCCTGCCCCCAACCCCCAGCCTTCCTCCTCCTAGGAGAGCTTTCCCTCACCCTCCCCCCACCCCTGTATATTTGGGAAAGCTGGCCCCACCCCTCACCACAGGAATGGGAGAGCTAACTGTGCCGCTCACCTGAGGAGAATGGTCCCAGGAGCCCAGACCTGTCAACTCAACTACCCCCCAGGCACACACTCATGTCTTCGAGTTGGCATTTTTCAATATCTATCCTCCTATGACCTGCGGGATCACGTGAAGGCCATGGCCCTGTGGAACTATAGCCACAGGATCCCCATGTCTCGGGGTCACAGCAGGATATCGAAGAGGAGTTCTGGCGAGGGCCCAGCCATGATGGTGTGCCAGAAGCCAGGAGCCTTGATCCCGATCAACACCATATTTACACAATGAAATTTGCCAGCAAAACCATTTGGACCAAAGAGTAGGCTGCAGGATACACAGCAGCTCCTAAAGCCTAAGACGAATGAAGAGGAGCTGGAGAGACAAGAAGGATGGGGGAGCGAAGTGTTTGGTGTGCTTGCTTTCTTTCTATTATGTTTGTTTATCTGTTTAAGTTTTCCTTTGGGGGGATGTTACAAGGGTGACTGAGGGATACAGAGAAACTAGAAAATGAGTGGATTGGGGTGCATGATGTAAAATTCACAAAGATTCGATTTAAAAAAACTATGTTTAAATAAAGAATAAAGTAGAATGGGCTAAAGAGCACTTGCTGGTCTTACCGAGGACCCAAATTTGGTTCCTAGCACCCATATTAGAGAGCTTACAGCCACCTGTAACTCCAGCTCCAAGGAATCCAACATCCGTTCTGGTTTCCACGGGCACCAGCACGCATGCTCATACACTCACTCAGACACACACATATACGTAAATAAATGCATAATAAATCCTTTAGAATTCTAGGAATATAACTGCACATGCCGATAGTCAAAATGATCGTGGTTTTGCAAGATTCTGATTATTTAGACATGCCAGTGCACTTTGGCACTAAAAATTGGTGTTTTTAATATTATTTCAGGTTACGGAAAATTTAAATTGAGAAATTCTTTAGCCTGAATAGGCTGACTGTTTTGCCTCTTTGGCGTCTGAATAACAGTGGCAGGGTGGACATAACTGTCCACCCCGAGGTCCTTGAGAGCTAAGCGACAGCTGTGGGATCTTCCAGACAGAGAGAAACAGTCAGGTTTCAAAGTGTGACCTCGCGGCATAGAGTACAGCAGATTCAATTTTGTAAGTGAACACTGTGGGCATTTGAGAGCCTGATAGGCTAAGAGACCATGAAGCATTGGGTGGGTGTTCTGTGTCCCTTTCGGGGCTTTGTCTGTAAAACAAGGGCAAATAACACATTCTGTGTTCAGTCTCAGCAGAAAGTAAAGGAGTGATTTATGGTGATGGCATTTAAAAATAACTATCAAACAACTGTACTATAATTGTAGCTATTAGTATGCAGAAGGCCCATAATTCCGTGAAGGTAAAAACGGTCCCCTCTTACCTCATTGCTCCTATTTTGAGACTGAAATTAAGCTCATCTACAGGGACCTACGGGGCAGGCAGAAGACTCCAGGGCCAGACCTACGTGCGGCAGCTCAGAAGCGGCACTGCCTGCCGGCAGCCTGGGTTCTGCCAGGAGATTGCTACATCTTTCCTGGGCACCATCATGCCATTACCGCCCTCCTTCCTCTTCAGGGAAGTGACGTGTGACTCTTCCCCCGGGAGACAGCAGGGAGCTGGTGGGTAGGGTTCTACAGCAGGAACCCCCAGAGGTAAAGGCTCACTGTTTCCCAGGAGAGAGCCCGGGACGGCAGGAAATGGCATAAGGGAGGAAGAATGGCACTGGAGGAGAGAGCTGGATCAAAGGTCTCAAACTCAGATGCTTTCTGGGACTAAGCAGATATAAAATAAAAGAAACCAATGTGGGCCATGGTGGCAAGCAAATTCTGCTGCTGAGAGAATGCTTTTCCAAGCGTAGTTCAATGCTACCGGGTGGAAATTGACGCCTCAGCATTTGGGGGGTCTTGGTGTTTACATAAAACTTTTTACTTATTAATTAGGAAATTGATTGCCAAATTCAAGTCCTCTGCAAGCCAAATGGAACAGGTACATAGGCTATGAACTGTTCAAGATCTACTATTTAGCAAACACTTCTCCCTTAGGAGGGAGGAGACACAAGAAAAAATCAGATGAGGAAGTAGTAGCTAGTTCTTAGCCATTTTATGAAGACTTTTTTATTATTATTTATCGAGACAGGGTTTCTCTGTAGCTTTGAAGCCTGTTCTGGAACTAACTCTTGTAGACCAGGCTGCCCTCGAATTCACAGAGATCCATCTGCCTCTGCCTCCCCAGTGCTGGGATTAAAGGTGTGCACCACCCCGCCTGGCTTATAAAGACTTTTTAAAACAATAGTCGCCGTTCAGCTGGGGGACTTTGCTCCTTAGAATCAGATGAGTCTGTATTATAATCATCCACCGGGACAAAGTTTGGGACGAAGAAGAAAGCAAGAATTTGCCTCATCAAGTAAAGGATGTATGAAGCCAAAGATTCCCCAAAGAAGGGAATTACAATAAATTCTAGTCTCTGGGTGCTGGACTGCCATTGCAGGAGCATGCAACAAAAGCTAAGCAGGGCAGCATGCTGTCTTGAGTACATCGGTGGTTTGCATAATTTAATACATAATTTAATATAATTATAAAGGTAACTATACATAAAATAAAATAACTAGAGAGAGGTGAGGAGTAGTGTGACCAAAGATGAGAAAGAGACAAAGTGTCACGTTCAGGAAATGGTGAAACACGTGGAAGAAGAAGGAGGAGGAGGAGGAGGAAAAGGAGGAAGGGAAGAAGAGGAAGAGGAAGAAGAGGAGGAAGGGGAGGAGGGGGGAGAGGAGGAGGAGGAAGAAGAGAAGAAGAGGAAGAGGAAGAAGAGAAAGAAGAGGAGGAGGAGGAGGAGAAAGAGGAGAAGGAAGAGAAGGAGGAGGGGAGGAGGAGGGAAGGAGGGGGAGAAGGCCGGGATGGGGTTGGTGGGTGTGTTCTTCCAGGTGGCCTTAACGGTTCCCATTCTGATCATTCTCTGCAGGTCTGCTCTTCACATCAGAAGTGCCCTCTTTTGGATGTGCCGCAGAAGTGCCTCTGGTTGCCAGCAGGAGACAGGGTGCAGTGTGTTGCTACTTCATGGATAGAAATCCAGAAGCCAACCTCCTCAGGGTAGTGCGATTCCCACAGACAAAGGAACTCAGCTCCTGCTGCCCACAACTCTAGCATTCGCAAGCGAGCATCAGTACAGTGCCAAGAGCAGCGCCATCGGTGACATCTATATCCAGGGAGCAGAAGGAAGACTTGAAAATGGAAGGTCACAGGAGGCCTAGCGGACATTTGAGAGTGATTATCAAAAGTTTCCCAGAACGCTCATCTATAGCATTGTTCAGACTTGAGCAAAGTCTATCTAGCTGCAAGGGAAGACACACATCCCACTGGAAACTGGGAATTCGGTTACTAAAGAGAAAGGGAGGACAGTTGGTGGGTACAAATGTCAGGTTCTTTCCATAATAATCTTATCAGTCTCTTGCTTTTGTATCCAATGGGTTTGGACTTGAATAGACTACAGTGTTTTCAAGAGCAAGAGTTGGATTCTGCTGTGTGCAGTGCTCCATGGCAACCAGCACTGGCCAAGCATCCAGCAAATGATGCGGGAAAGAACTGATGAGCACCAAATGAAACAAGTACAGTCTTTGGTGTTTCTGGCCTATTTTCTGTTATATTTTTTAAAGTAAGTATCCAGAGAAATGTATTTCATAGTGACCTCTTCAGACTGATAGTTATGAGAATTTTATTTTGATGTTACCAGGGATTGAACCTAGGACTTTGTGTATGTTAGTCAAATGTTCTACCACACAGAGCCCTCAACATACTCTAATTAGGGTATTTTCATATATTCTTTGTTTCTGTTGTTAAAACCTTGTATACACTAAAACCTAGTGGATATGCAGACTATTTTCATGGCTGAGTTATGAAAAAGTGTGGCTATGATATTGCAAAATTGATTAGACCCAGTATTGTATAATGAAAACACTAATATTTTCAATGTTAGCACAAATACTGATAACTTTGTTTGTTTGTGTCTGTTTGAACAAAATATACTTTAAATGAACAAAGGAGAATTTTCACTTTCAATGCAAAAGTCCATAGCACAGTCATTTTTACAATTATCAACAGTGTTTAATCCTAGATGTGCTTAGTATTCAGAAACATGGAATGGAGAGTTTGGGGCATTTGGGTTTTGTCTGTTTGTGTTTATCATATTTAAGTTGTAGTGACAGAAGTTTAACCCAGGGCCTTATATTTGTTGGGTAAACACTACCCCAGTCCAGAATTTCGAAATATAAAAAAAGTTATAGCTCCAAGTCTGATGAATAATAAGATAGGTAATCAAGTCTATTACACCAATTTGGGGCTTTTTTAAAAAAAATATGATGACGGAGGGACTATAGCGATGGCTCAGTGGTTAAGAGCACTGTCTGCTCTCCCAGAAGTTCCGAGTTCAATTCCCAGCAAACACGTATTGGTTCACAATAATCTATAGTGAGATCTGATGCCCTCTTCTTGCATAAAGGTGTACATGAAGATAGAACACTCATATCGATAGATAAAGTATGGTGAGGGGGCTGGAAAGATAGCTCAGCAGTTAAGAGTATTGGTTGTTCTTCCAAAGGTCCTAGATTCAGTTTGCAGCACCCACATGTTAGCCAACAACCATCTAGAACTACAGTTCCAGGGGTTCTGAATCCCTCTTCTGGCCTCCAAGGGTGTCAGGCACACAAGTGATACACAAACATACATGCAGGCAAAATATTCATACACATAAAATAAAATCTTTACGTATGATGATTAAGTGACTGGTCTACATTTCTTTCTTACTCATAAAATTGCTATTGAAAGCAACTTCAGGAATGCAGTTACTAAAATATTTTCAGCAATCCAGAACTGAAGTCAGGCATGGTGGTGCAAACCTGGATTCCCAGCACTCAGGGCATAGAGCAGGAAGATCAGAACTTCAAGGATATCCTCAAACTTTGTAGCAAGTTTTAGGCCAACTGGGCTGTAAACAACCCAGCCCTCCCCCCAAAAAAATTTAAAATAAAAATAAAAAATGCCAAATTGGTTGAATGTCATACTAGCAGTTACTAATTTCAATATAACAATAAATAACATATAAGTATATTAACATAACAGTGTATATATTGTATATATTTACATCCTTGATATTTAGCTAACAGAATTGTGCATTGTGGAAAATATACATTTTATATTTACATGAAACTCACATATACATGTGCCATATACACATCTATGCATATATAAGTACACATATGAATATGTGTTTACATATGCAGTCTCCTATTATTTTATGGATAACACAACTAACAGTAACTAAGAAAAATGGATTCCAATCCAGACCTTTCTGAATATGGAGGGTTTACTGGCTCAACTTTATTTCCAATAATTACTAAAAAAAACAAACCAAAACAATTAAAAGAAAATACTCCAATAAGCAAATAAAAGCACAATAGCAAAATGATCAATTTAAATTGTGTAATAATGTCTTTCCCAAGAAACTGGAGGCATTTTATAGACATCAATTTTCCTGAGAGAAAACACAGGCTGCATCTCTCCTGCCAATGATTCTTGGCTATTGCTGCAATTCTGGGCCATTATCTGATATGTGGGGAATTTTATATTAACCACAAGGAAAAGGCTGAATCAATAATGTTGCTTAGAAGGGACATGACACTTCTCATCTTCACAGTGCTCTATGGATACTGACGAATTAATCCTCCCAGGGTCCTGCGAGACTGGGCCGGAGTCACAGCCTGTAACCTAGGGAAGGGAAGAGACAGAACGCCAATCCGCTGCCCTCAGCATTTGGGGATAGAGGGTCAGGGCAGGACTGAGGCTAGGACTGAACTTCTGCAGTGAGCTGTGCATCACACCTAGATCACACAAAGCCTCGGCCTTGCCCTGTCTTCAGAAAACAGTGGTCTTGAAGCTCAGGCGCCCCATTGTCTGAGACAGCATAGAGAATGTGTTTTCAAGTCAAATACCTATCCATCAACACATATCGATTTTCTTTAATTCTCTCCACAGAGCGTTCTTGCTTCTGAAGAGCCTGTGTGATCTGAAAAATGTATCACCTATTTGTCAGCATGTATAATTCATGAAGGCCTTTCATTCAAGGTCTGTAGTCCAAAGCCAGCAATTTGTGTGTTATTAACATGTTATTAGATAGACCCTATCAAGATCTGTAGATGTCCAGCCTCTTACACAAAGGCAAGAGAGACACTACATAAATTTTCACTTGCATGATGAGGCTTAGAGGATTCTGATTTTAACACCACCCCCACGAATCCATCCCACAGAAGAGTCTGCCACAATTAAGCGATCAAAAAATTACCCCTGACTTTAAACTCATTAGCTTGAAACGAGTCTGCTCTAGATGGGTCTCTCTTAGAATGTGTGGTTCCTATGTGAGATGCCTGTCAGTACTAACATACTCAGCAGGAACCCTTGTGGATCAAATAATCTACTTTATAAGTAACCAACTTAAAAATAGCCAGTAGTACTTAATTCATGAGGCAATGCATCCTTCACATTATGTCTCGTTAATGCAAAGTGATGCTGCATTTCAGCGTGTCCAAAGACACGAGGCAGGGATTTCTATTATTGTAGTAAGGTAATTCTTTTTATAACTATCTTTATTTTACATGCAGCGAAAGTAGAAGGATCATTGTCACCACTCCTAACAGGTGACACCTAGGAGTATCCGTGTGATGAGCTGCTTCTCTTTAATCTCCATAACGCTAATTTCTGGCTCTTGAGAGATCATAAACACACATTGTTTGTATGTCCTTGGAAGCAACCTAAAACTAGGGATCCAGCAGGCAGTAAGGACAGCAACACAGATCAGGTGACTCAAAGCAGGCTGTCTCGGGGAAGTACCTAGAGCTGGGAGCCCAAGGGAAATGGGGCTTCCGCTAGCTTGATCTCACACAGGTCTTGTGCATGGAGCCACAGCCACTGTGAGCTCCTGCGTGTAACGGTATTGTGGCAAGCCAGGTAGGAAGCAGGCAGAGACCTAAGATGAACCCCATGAGAGGCAACATGGTGTGGCCTGAAAGGAAGGCCAGTTTGCTGGGGAAGGAGCCTGGGACTGGATGCTGCAGAGCTGCTGGTCACAGTGAGGCCTGGGCTTCCGAAGACAGCATGCAGCCAGTGGAGGCTTTTAAGTACAGGGACAGGCCAGAGCAAAAGAGGAGCCTTGGGAATAGCAAAACAAATCATTATAAACAAAAAAAGCCCCGAGAGTCTGGCTTCGTCTCAAAAATCTATCTTGAATTGGAATTTGAGGTGATTTTTGCAATTAAAAGGAAAGGTAACCTTCTCAAAAGCTCATGAAAAGAACTCAGTAGCCTACTGCAATGCTACAGAGTCTCTCTGAGGTTACAGGTGATTCTGCAATGCTACAGCGTCTCTCTGGGGTTACAGGTGATTCTGCAATGCTACAGAGTCTCTCTGAGGTTACAGGTGATTCTGCAATGCTACAGAGTCTCTCTGAGGTTACAGGTGAAGCAGGGGAGAGTCAAAGAGATGAAAGCTGACCAGTGAATGGATTAACTATTCCCCACACACCAAACATATGAAGAAACCCATTGCAAACACTCTCATGCCCACCACCAAAGTTTAGCCAACATTCATATTCTGCAATATTTCTTTCTCTCTTTTACTTGCTCAATTCTTTTAGGAAATAAAACATTAGAGACAGACATTGACCCTGCTCTGTTTTTTTGCCTCTTTCTCAAGAGGCAAACATCTCCAAATTCCTATTTATATATCATGGACATTTGTTGTGTGTTTGCATCATATGTGTGATCTTGTATGTTTGTGTAATTTTCTTAATGTTTCGTCTTGTAGGTGTGCAATGGCCCTGTCGCATCCAGAAAATACTGGTTCACAGAGGTCATCGACTGCCTCAGACTCTTACAGTCGCTCTGCACCCTCATCAGTATTGGTCCCAGAGCCTTTGGTGGAGGGGTGTGGTGCATGTGCCCCATTTAGGACTGAGTGTTCCACGGCGTCTTATTCTCTACATGTGGGGTCATTCATTTTAGGCCCTTTGTGAATATTGTATGCTGATAACACCGGTAGATATTAGCAACTTCCCCCCATTTTTCTCTGATTAGAAACAACACTGCCATGAACATCCTGAGGTTTATTCCTAATACACATGTGTAAGAGACACATATGTAAACTTTTAAGACACTGGAGAAACACCGCCTATTAAATTGAATTCACAGTCTATTTGCTCACCATAAAAATAGTACAATGACGTGTTCGGGTTTCAGAGAAGAGTTTGAAACTGCTGTTTCATTTTCAAGTTATGATTTAGATGATATAAAATCATCTAGATGGAGATAAAGAGTACACAGAAGTTGCCAGAACTTGAAGTTTTTGTTTCAGTGGTTGAGACTCCGCATGCTCTCATCTAAGCTTTAAGTCTGCTTGAAAGAGTTGAGCGCATCTAATTTAAGATATATGTCAAGGAGACTTAAATAGAAAGGGAAATGAGAATGAATGTACTGAGGGAGGCAAAGAAAAAACCCACCTTGACAGGTTCGGGTGTACATTTCATAGAACAAGTTCCAAAACCCCAAAGGCCTCCAACATCACTAACACAACATAAGCATCAGATGGAGAAGCTCTTCACAGACTGATTTTTTTCTGTCTCCAACTATTTCAGGCCAGGCTTTGAGGCTGGTTTCCATTCACCCAGCACTGCTGCTTCCTTCACCGTTCCTCAATGATGACACCCAAGCAGCCACCTTGTCAGAACCTGTCCTTTGCCTAAGTGAAGTGAGAGTGGAGATCCCTAAACTGGACAGGAGCCCCCTGTGGGAGAAAGGCTCCACAGGAAGAAATGATATTCAGGATGCATCCTTCCCAAGCCAATGAAGAACAGAGGCCTTACATCTCACCCGCCATGGAATCCAAGAATTATCCTTTGTAACATCTGGAAGACCCTGTGAGTTGAGCTCTCAGTTGCTGTCACTCCATTGGCTCACAACCCAGCATGTATGTGGGTTCAGAAAATGGCTCTCTTTGATTGACAGGGAACCATAGGTATCTCCTTCAAACCACTTAAGTTTGTTTGGCATGGGGGTGAAAAAGCCCATTGAAGTATTATATTCAAGTTCACACAATAAACTGTGAGCATGCAAAGTCTCTAAAGTCTTTATTTTGTGTTCTTTGCCCTGCATTTACACATAATAAAACATACGGTGACAAATTAGAATGTTTATTTCCCGTGGCTAGGTCTATAACTCAGTGACAGAGCATTTGCCTACCATCCATACACAAAACCCAGAGTTCCATCCCTGCCACATAAAAACCACTTCTTGTTAAACTTGTCATTCATTTTAAAAGTCGCCAGTAGGCATGGTGACTCAGTCCTGTAACCCTAGCATTTCAGATGCTAAGAAAGGATAATCTCCACTGCAAATTCAAAATCACTCTTGACTACACAGGGAGACCATATGTATGTGTTCATATAGATAAAGATATAGATTAAATATATATCTGGATGTAGATATATGTTTTGGCCAATGCAGATCTTCAATGGCCACATTAAAAAGCCAGACACAGCACACATACACTTCTAATCCCAGTTCTGGAGAGACAGAGATGGGAAACTCTAGGGCCAAACTGGCTAGCAGACTGACTGAGTTGGTGAGCTGAGAGTCAGGGAGAAATTCTTATTCAAAAAACTAATGTGAAAAGCAATAGAGAAAGACATCTGACATTGACTCTTGCCATACACACACATGGATATATAGGTACACACACATACATGCCTACACACAACTTTTCAGCAACAATACCTTATCTTCTGCTATGGGAAAATGGTCTTGTACCCTGTCACTCATATTGTATTGTTTTAATAAAATGCTGATTGGCCAGTAGCCAGGCAGGAAGTATAGACAGGGCGAGCAGGCAAGAAGTAGAGGTGGGGTAACCAGAACAGGAGAATTCTGAAGAGGAAAGAGTCGGTCTGCAGTCACCACAAAGAAAGCCAGACACAGAGGAAAGAGGATGAGAATGCCTCACTGATAAAGGTCCCAAGTTACGTGGCTAACACAGACAACAATTATGGGTTAATGCAGGATGTAAGCATTAATAAGAAGCCTGAGCTAATAGGCCAACCAGTTTATGATTAATGTAACTCTGTGTGTTTCTTTGGGACTGAACAGCTGATGGACCTGGCTGAACAGAAACTTCTGTCAACAATCTTCATTAGAAAATTCAATAGATTATGAATTCAGTAGATCCCTTTGAGAGCATCACACTGTCCCATTGAAGTCACACTCGACTATGCTATAAGTTTATCATCCATCTGCTATGAGCTAAATTCCCCAGATAAAGATTGTTCCTTCTGCGTGGATCTCAAGACAAAGAAGAAACAGAAAAGAGCTGAGACTGACCCAGAGTCGATATGCTGTGAGTGAGAAATAATACTGTGTTGCAAACCATTAAGATTTTAGAACTCAGCATAGTAAATTCCATGGCAGCCAGGGCTACATAGACTGTCTCAAAACCTCTCTTACATCCACCCGCACTTCGAGCCTCATCAAATCCTTAATTCCCAGTTTTCTTCTGTCAAGTTGGTGTATTAAAAAAAAATGGAGACCAAGCAGAGCATCCAGAAGAAACCTTCCCCAACACTGAAACCAATAGTGAATTTGGTAAACATCCTGAAGAAGATACGAAAGAAGAGGAAGTCTTTAAAAGATCTAGAAATACTGATGAGATGGTTGAACTGCACATTTTGCTTCAGAGCAAGAATGCTGGGGCAGGATTGGACAAGGAGGCAAGAGTATTAAGGCTCCCCACACAGACTGTAATGCCAGTGTTTCAGTCCCAGACAGCAGTGGCTCCGAGAGCACACTGAGTATCAATGCTGATATTGAAACAATCGAAGAAATTCTGAAGAAAATCATCCCGACCTTGGAAGAGGACCTGCAGTTGCCATGACCCACTGCAACCAGCCAGCTCCCACTCGAATCTGATGCTGTGGAAGGCTTAAATTACCAACAGTATAAAGGAGGTGACTTTGAATGCGAGTTGAGACTGTTGATTCATCAAAGTCTGGCAGAAGGAATTTTTGGTGTCAAAGGTGCTAAAATTAAAGAGCTTTGAGAAAACACTCAGACAACAATCGAATTTTCCAGGAATGCTGCCCTCTCTCCACTGACAGAGCTGTTCCTATTGGAGGAAAGCCAGATAGGTCTGTAGAGTGCACAAGATCATCCTTGACCTTAGATCTGAGTCTCCCATCAAAGGACGTGCACAGCCTTGTGATTCCAATTTTTATGATGAAACCCATGATTATGGAGGTTTTACAATGATGTTTGATGACCGCTGTGGACGTACTGTGGGATTTCCCGTGCGGTGGTTTTGACAGAATGTCTCCTGGTCAGGGTGGGTGTTCCATACTTTCCTCTAGAAGAGATTATGATGATATGAGCCTTCGTCAAGAACCTTCCCCACCTCCTCCTGGTCACGGTGGCCAGGGTGGAGCAGAGCTTGGAATCTTCCTCTTCCTCCACAACCACCTCCCAGAGGGGGCGATCTAATGGCTTTTGACAGAAGAGGAGGGCCTGGAGACCTCCGTGATGGCATGGTTGGGTTCAGTGCTGATGAAACTTGGGACTCTGCAATTGTCACATGGAGTCCACCGAAATGGAAGATGGCTTATGAACCACAGGGTAGTTCTGGATATAATTATTTCTATGCAGGGGGTCATGGCTTCTATGCTGATCTTGGCAGACCTATTATTACCACAGAAGTAACTATTCCCAAAGATTTGGCTAAATCTATTATTGGCAAAGGTGGTCAGCAGATTAAAGAAATCCATCATGAGTAAGGCACATCGCTCAAATTTGGAAGGATCTGAAGATGGGATCATTACCGTCACAGGACACAGGACCAGATACAGAATGCACAGCATTTGCTGCAGAACAGTGTGGAGCAGTATTCTGGAAAGTTCTTCTAAGACCAGTGAAGAACTGAAGGAGTCCTGTATCTTTTTTCTTATCTGCTTCTGTTTAAAAAGCCAACATTCCTCTTCTTCATAGGTGTTCTTCACTTGAGGTGTAGTGTTGACAAGATGGATAATGTTTTAGTTACATACGGGGTTGGGGAAAGGCATGGGATAAACATTAAAAATTCGAAACAGCAGCAGAGTGGGTGAATTTAACTTTTCTTTATTGTGGGTGGTTTTAAAAACATTTTCCCTGGGTAATTATTGTGAACACCTTGCTTTGTGATCACTGTAACACTGGGGGGAGGGGGACAGGGAGGAAAGTAATAGTCCACACGTCCCTGGCATTTGTTCAGAGCAGTGTGCAGAATGCAATGCTCTTTTTTAAAGAAATATTTTATGATTTTTAAAATAAATTTAGTGAATCTAAAAAAATATTTTGGAACACTTTGTTATTCTAACAAGACCCAGTAAAAGCTGACTGATACATTTGACAGTTAATGTCAATAACAACAAAGATATTTAACCAGTCATCATTAAACTACTCTTAAAATTCTGAACAAAGAGATCAACCTCACTGACTAATCTTTTTCTTTGAAGCATTTGCTTCCACGTTGCACAGAACTTCTTTCCCAGGAAGCTGATGGAGAGTTCACTGTGGCATCAGCTGCTTCCCCTTAATGTTCTCAGGAGCCCACATTTCATACAAAGTGAGTATGAAGTGAAGGCATTTTGTGTCCACATCGATGGCCCCATTCCAGCTGCTACTTGGAAAGGAAGGCGAAGAACTGAAGCAACAAAGAATTCCAGCACCCAAAATTGGAGTAAAATCTCAAACTGCCTTTCCTTTTCTAAATCTGCTTATTCACCTATTTAGTTATCTGTTTATTAAAAGGTGTTAGGGATCAAAGCCAGGGCCTGGTGCCTACTAGCCAGATGTCCTACCACTGAGCTACATCCTCAGTTCCAACTTCTTCTCTTCATGCTAAACTCTGATGGTAGTCACCAACAGCCACACCAACACCACAGAGGCCACCTGGCCATCATCTAAATGTGTTGTAGGAGGCCGTTTGTCTGTTCCCAGCGGCCCAGAAATAACCACACAGAAACTGTAGTAATTAAATCACTGCTTGCCCCATTAGCTCTAGCTTTTCTTACATCTTAATTTAACCTATTTCTAGTGATCTGTGGATCGCCACGTGGCTGTGGCTTACCGGGTAGAGTTCCATCTGGCTCCAGCGGGGCTACGTGGTTTCTCTTTGTCACAAATGAATCCAGCAGTAAAGCCCATTCCACTGTATGGGAGAAACAGTGTGGCCCTCAAGAGAGCAAGCCACAAGTCTCTGTTCCCTGCAGGCATATCTACGTGTTTGACACCGCAACATGACATTGCTATCTACAATGGTCCTGCCAAGAACCACACAACCAAGTTACAAAAAAACACATTGCAATAAAATCTCATATTGTTTTAAGTAGTTTACATTTTGGGTTGGTCCACTTTTGTAGCTATCCTGGGGTACACACAGCCCATGGGCCACAGGTTAGACCCTATCATTAGACAAGGAGAAAGCAGCCGGCAACTGTTGAGTGTCTACATGTGAAAGATACTGCAAGAACACAGACTAGGTTACTGACTTCATTTAATGTATAATTTGGTTGGGAAAAGAGATGAAAATCAATCAAAATACAAATAAGCAGATTTCTGTGGGAAATGTGGAAAGTAAATAAGCTGATAACGTCAGAAATTGCAGTACAGATTGTCTCTGAGATAGCTAGAAGCCCCCGTAGTACATGACATTTTAGTAGAAATCCTAAGGATAAGACAGATTCAGCCACGAAGACGGAGAGCTGAGAATGTGTATTTGAAGCAGGGGGAAGGGGTTGCAAAGATTCTGAGGCACAAAAGAGCATGACATATTCCCGGAGCAGATTGGCTTTCAAAGAAATGGGCTTGTGACTTGAGTCCTAGGAACAACATCGTATCAGAATATTTCAGACTGAATCAAAGTCACAGGAGAAGAACTGCTGAGAAACAAGGTTTCTAATGTGCTGGGGATGGGATGGTAAGAGACAGGCATGTTTTTCCTAGAAACTGATTTCCTCCAATGACAGTACAGCCTTGTTGATGCTGGGCAAAGTTTAAGCAAGGAAAACCATACACACTGTACAAAAATACAAAAATGTTACATCTCGAATTGAGGCCTATGTACCAAAGATGTGAGGGGAAAAGAAAAAAAACCTTCCTCTTCTGTTAAAACCATCAGAGCCCTATCCTGCTTGGGATAGGCACCCAAATGAGGAACTTAATGACAAGGAAAGGCTCTATTAAAACTCACTGCATCTGTCCCTGTTTCCTGTACCACCCGCCTTCCTCATGTGATTCTGGACCTTGGCTATACCATAAGAGGTCTATGTGAAGATGTACACAAGCTTGTGTTATACGATGTTTTACTCTTTTGAGTTTTTGAACTCTTTGGGGGCCTGCCACGCAGCTCCCAAATAAATCACGCACATTGGCAGGCCCCCAGATCATCTTAGTTATGAGTGCCCGACCTTAGCTTGGCTTGTTTCTAGACAGCTTTTCTTCACTTAACTTATCCCATCTACATTTTGCCTCTGAGCTTCCTTTTCTTACTTCTGTCTATCTGACTTTCACTCTTACTCTGTGGCTGGCTGTGTGGCTGTGTGGCTGACCCCCAGCAGCCTCTCTCCTCTTCTTGCTCCTCCTTGTCTTCTTTCAGGGTTCTCCTCCTATTTATCCTCTCTGCCCACCAGCCCTGCCTATCCTTTCTCCTGTGTCACTATTGGCCATCCAGCTCTTTATTAAGCCATAAGGTGTTTTAGACAGGCACAGTCACACAGCATCACAGAGTTAAACAAATGCAGCATAAACAAAAGACACGCACCTTAAAATAATATTCCCCAATAGGCCTGAATGTGTGTGTCACCCTGCACTAACTTACAGTCTACCTGACGTACTGAATCCAGCAATGAAGTCCATGTTGCTGTTGTAGTAGTGTGACCCTCAGCAGGCAGCTGACGTGGCTCGTAGCCACACAACTTAGGAGTCCAGAGGATGCCGTAACAAAGTTGGCAACTGTGCTTATTTGGATTGGGCCCACATAAGACCAGCCCTAAAGACAACTGGTCAGAGAAGGAAGAGAGGCTCACAGAGCCATACCCTTGGACCCTGAATGACTGGCTACTGATTCTGGAAGAGAAGCAGTCATTGTCTTCAGCTGTGTACGATTTAGCCAACCCGTGCTTTCAAAATCTACACTCTGATGGCCCTGGGTAGCCTTGTAGGTTCCAAAGCAAAGTGAACAGATATGAGTGGGAGAGAGGTGTGTGGAGAGGAGGAAAGATGCACGGAAGTGGTAAGGAGTTGAGAGCAGTCAGTGAGCAGAGAAGACATATGTGATATTATTTGAAAAAAAATTGTCAAAATGGACAACACTTGAGGAATGCCAGCCTGAGGGTGTCCTCTAGCATCAGGTGTGTGCACATACACACGATCACACACACACACACACACACACACACACACACACACACAGAGAGAGAGAGGGGGAGAGAGAGAGAGGGAGAAAGAGAGAGGGAGAGAGAGAGAGAGAGAGAGGCACACACACAGGCAAACTACACACAAAATACACACACAACATACACACAAACAACAACACTCATACACACACATACATACATATACATACATATACAGAGAGAGGTACACACAAAAACACACAGGGGGGCATGCACAGGCAAACTACACACAAACACACACACACACAAACACGATACACATACACACACATATACATACACAGCACATGCACACACAGAAGATTTTTGTGGGAAAGGAAATTAGGAGCTCAGGGCTGACCATTGGGTGGCGACATCTCTGAAGTCCCCAGGTGGTTCTGGGCAGCCAGTTTGTTATGCGTCCAAAGGAAAGAACAGAGAGCTGTTGACAGGAATTAGGGGCTCTCGAGGCACAGATGGTGTGAAGAATACATATCCTGTTTACAAAAGATTCTCTGAGAGTCACGCTCTCTCAAGGAAACTTACGATAAGGAAACTAATCAGGACCGCGGTGGTTTCTCTCCAGACAGTGAGGTGTAGGCTTATGCAGAGGAGTGGTGTCACAAGACGTCACTGCTGCTGATGGATGGGTACGCGACAGCTCAGGAGCATCTCTCCAATCTCTTACTCCACGTCTTAATACATACAGTTTCTTATAGCATGCAAGCTGAAAAGCGCAGTCCTCCACAACAAACAAACAAAGCAAGCATGGCAGTAAAGAGCACCCCGGGGTTAAAGTATATATTCCACGATCGCAGTAAACCTCTGTGGAGGAGACGGAAATATCTCACTCAGGAGATTTCATTACTTTTCCAGCAAACGAATCAGCCAGAAATTCAATTTCACAATGAGAAGAGCAAGTATAGAGGACTCCAACTCTTCACAGGAGTACAGCCCACCTGGCTAGATCGCTTTATCCTTCCTGCCTCAGTGATAACTACTTGGAAATATTCTTCAACCTTCCCCCGGCTGCTGGAGGAAAGGACGAGGAGTAGCAAGTGCTTTTCAGTCTCAAAACACTTATATTAGCAGCCTTTCTTCCCCCTTGAGATTCCTCATCAAATAATATTATTTCCCATTAAGTTTCCTGGCCTACCATATGGACTATAGTGTTAGCCAAGGTTGGCTCGGGGTGCCCCAGGCTATCTATGATGCTCTTCCTTCCTCATAATGCCCTGGACAAGATCACCTTGACAGTAAGAACACACCTAGAAAGAAGGAAGACTTGGGGCTAGCTAGGCCCTGGGACTCCACTGTTAGAGGCCACATTTGGGGCTGTGATATCACAAACACAAAGGCATGAAAGGAGAGACACAGGGTGAACTGACATTGTAAGAGCAGTCACTGGTGTTGACTGGGTTTGCTATACCACATCTTCTGCTAAAATATTCCCTATTATGTTTTCAGATAATTGCCTCTCTTGTCTGTGTGTCTCTGCCTCTCTGTGTCTCTCTCTGTCTTTCTTTCTGTGTCACTGTCTGTCTGTCTG